TCTCAATTCTATGACCACTCTCCCTGGCCATTGCATCCTGAAACTTGTCGTAATTTATTCCCTTCTGGCCTCCACTCTGTCTCAGGACTTCCCTCTTGTTCATTCCTGCCCTTCGAGCTTCCACTAGCTTAAAATCCAAAGACTCAGATAACGTTCTGGGGACCCAGGTTCGAATCCCACCACGGCAGATGGTGGAATTTGAATTCAATAAATATTTGGAATTAAGAGTCTAATGATGGCCATGAATCCATTGTCAATTGTTGGAAAAACCCACCTGGTTCACTAATGTCCTTCAGGGAAGGAAACTGCCATCCTTACCTGGTCTGGCCCACATGTGACTCCAGACCTACAGCAATGTGGTTGACTGTGAACTCCCTTTGGGCAATTAAGGATGGACAATAAATGCTGCCTAGCCAGCGATGTCCTCATCCCGTTAATGAATTTTTAAAAAATTTCTGCATTTCTCCCCTCCTCCTTCAGTTCTGACCAAAGATCATCTTCAGTTGAATTGTTACTCTGTCTGTCTGTCTGTACACAATGGCCAGTTGGAACCATACAGCCACTGAAGTGATACAGCATTGAAAGCAACCATTTGGCCCAACTTACCCATTTCAACTCTCAGATACCCGGATGCCCTTTCTAATCCCGTCTTCGTGCATGCGGCCCATAGCCTTGCAGCTTCCAGCATTTACGGTGCAGATCCAGGTTTAGGGTCTCTGTCTCAGGCAGTGAATTCCAGACACCCATCACCCTTTAAGTAAAAATGTTTTTCCTCACATCCCCTCTGATCCTTCAGCCACTTAGTTTGAATCTATGACCTCTAGTTTTGAACTCTCTGCCAAGGGAAACAGGTTCCTCCTGTCCCTGTATCTTTACCCCTCACAATTTTGTCCACATCAATCATGTCAACCTCTCAGCCTTCTGTGTTCTAAGGAAAACAGCCCCCAACCTCTCCAATCTCTCCTCATCGTGACAGTTCAGCTGAATATTGTCAGTAATACTTTGCTTTTAAAGCTGATAGAATTTATCTAGAGCCTGAACATACAAGACATATGACGACAGACTCCATGTAAAATCAGAACACTGTGGATGCTAGAGATCTGGAATAAAATCAGAAAGTACTGGAGAAACTCGGCAGGTCTGGCAGCCTCTGTGTAGAGAGACAGAGAGTTAACATTTTGAGCCCACTGACTCTTCTTCAATTCTTCTTCCCACTGTAAACATGAACTGTGTTTATCTCTCTCTCGTCCCCCCCACACACAGGCTGCCAGACCTGCTGAGTTCCTCCAGCACTTTCTACTTTACTGAAAGATTCCAACTGTCTGCCACCCCACCGCTGCAGCAACAGACTGGAAATAACTCCCTTCAGTTTCGATCACCAGTGCAGATCTTTGGTTCTGAACTTCTTCCACGTGAATCTCTCCTCTTCCACCCTCCATGGACCCCTGCCCCCACTCCGGTGCCTTTGTTCTGAGCAGCTCACGGGGTGAATTTGAAGGAACCTTACCTTGATTGGTGAGTACCACTTCCTGGGGGCATTCATCTGCCGACCTCTGTTGTTGTTCTGAATCCCCAACTCGGAGAACTCATACTCTTGCTCCGGCATTTTCACCCTCGCATTTTTGGCCTTTTCCAATTTGGCGCCTTCTTCCGTCGATCCCTTCTCTCCCCAGCGTACCTGAAAAGATGGCAATGCCAGCCATTAAGAAGCTGCCTATGGAACGGGGGTCTCAGCCGGCTGCCTCTGTGGGGACAGGTCGAGAGGCAAGATGCTGCTGGTCGTGTGCGGCCCTGCGGGCTGGGGAATGGTGCACGCAAAGTAAGATCCCAGCAGCCAATCTGAGGCAAGTGGGCGATCGTTTCGCAAAAGATGGGTCAGACGCAACTTGCAGTGAATGTGATAACGCAGTGTGGAGCTGGTGGAACACAGCAGGCCAGGCAGC